CTGATATTAATGATATTCACATAATATATGGATAATAATGCTCTTAGAAACTACAACATGCAACTTTGGGGAAGTTTACGATTAAAAAAAAAAGATAGTTGCTATATATAACTCGAAGCGACAATAATTTCTCTACATATTTTTTTTTTTTTTTGTTAAAAGGCTTTCACATATTTTTTCTTTACTAAAAGCATATTCTTCTTTTGGGATTTTAATATTCTTTACACGATTAACAGCAACATAATTATTGGTGTTACAAAACAAAACTATATTTTGGATGTATTTGTGGAAACTGGACCGTTGTTTGAGAAACAAAAAAAACATTTCCAATTTGATTAATAGTAGTAACTTCATCTCGAAATGGTTAACATAATAAAAACAAACATTTCGACAAAAAAAAAAAACATAATTTATTTAAAATGATTGTTCGTCTATCAACGGTAAATGGTGTTCTTAATTAGAACATTAATCACACCTAAATTGGGGTATATTTATATATCCATAAATAATATGGCAGAAGATTTTAGTATATATGTGTAATTAAGGCAAAGCAAAAGTGTTACATAACGATTAGATACCAGTGGCACCGAATATTTTGATGAAATAATAAATATAAAATATTTAGGCGGATGGCTGTATAACTGTAATTGGCTCCTGCAAGCCTGTCATGGGTCCATTTATCATCTTTAAAAAATAAACAAAAGTATTTCATTAATCCAATTTAAATACATTTTTTAAATAGAAGTTTTTGTCGGTGCAACGCAAATTATGGCTTTCTATTAACCTTGACGAAACAAAAACTGTTATAGATGGTCTCTTAAAAGTGTATATATTTATAATCTAACTGATCAATTAATCGTATACGAATTTTGATTATATACGTAACATGAAGCTACCTAATCGAAAGATAGTTTGTATTTGTAAAATTATAAAATTCTATTATATTCTTATATTCTTTGAAGTTTACGTTTTAGTATACACGCGTAGTTTAAGAAAAATATATGCTATTAGAAGAAAAACATTTAGAAGAAGACAGTATCTCATCGGGTAAATGACTAATTTAATATGATCTTGGTTTTATCTGGTCGAACTAACGTAAGATTTGAATTTTTTTAGCTAAAAAAAAGAAAAATCGATTGCGAAAACAACCCCAGCCATATTGTATAAGTGATATTAGCCATAATAGGGTAAAATGCTATTAAAGTTTGATCTCTCGTTTAGAAAAAGCAAGCACAGTTGTAAATTGTAATCATCAGTGATCTTTCTTTCATTTTCTTTATTTATTGGCAACTTTTTTTTTTTTGAAAATTAACATTTCTTTTTCTTTATTTGAATAAAAAAGGTTATGCTATAACCTGTAATCATGTAAATCCTGTTTTCCTCTTATCATTAACCTTTCATTATCTAAAAGTCAGTCGACAACTAATATAGAAATATAGAAAAAAAAGAAAGTAGAACAATTAAAGGCACGTAAATAATATTTTTTTCTCTCTTCTTTTTTTATTTGTTTAGTATTTACAATTATTAGTGTAGGTTTTAGGACTTAGAGCATGTTTATCTATAATACCCACATGGGTATCATTAATATTCACTATTTAACAAAAAAAAATTAAAAAAAATAATAATAATTTTGGACTGATCGTCTCGCGCCACATGGCCATGATACCCATATAAAGTCTCGGCCAGCAGAGACGAATCAACTGAGTATCATGAGTAATAATGATTTTTAATATTTATTTAATCAGATGATACTCATGGATATTATGGATAAACATGCTTTTAGGATACTACGTAAAAAGAAAAAAAAACTTGCATAATCTTTGTTAACAACAACTTGCAGATACATGGTATCCAATGTAGTGTCTATTTTTCAAAATAAACGCGAGCCTAAGTAATACCATCGGGATCAAATGTTCATAAGTTTATGGATAATTGATTTAGTTATCATAATTCATATATGTAAATTACATGTTTGTCCATTATTCTTTGTAAGGTAGAATTGTCTGCGTTGACGCTTTGCACGTGTTAGTGCGCACACAGTTTCAATGTTTCTTCTAAAATTAAATCCTTTGTCAGTCGAGGAGCGTTGGCAAATGTAATTGCTTGTTTAAAATAAAATAAATTTC